CGTGTACACACACACACACACACACACACACACACACACACATATATATATTGAAAACTCATACGTCGCATATACGCTGTAGTTTACGTACGTCATGCGAGACTAATCTTCGAAACCTCCAAAGTTTAAAAATAGTTCCTAATAGTAGATTAGAAACTATTTTAGTTGGCTACAACACATCACAAACAGTGCGAAGTTATCACTCTTTATATCTCGGATACAATGCTGATTCAACTCGGCAAAACACCACAGCTTCCCGCAAGTGTACTAAGGGGTACATCTATCATTCGAAAAGGCCCTCAAATAGACCCTTTTCGATCGTATCTTTCGGTTCTGCACATACATCCTATTCGTACTACATATGCACGTCGGGCAGAGGGGTATGGGAACTTGACAACGCGTGTACAGAACTTCAAGTATAGCGGAGCTCACATATACTCCAATCGCATACAACTACACACAACTGCTGGCCAGAATAAACAAATGGGAATACATGATGATGTACATAAATGTAGATACAACAACTCGTATGGATATTTCTACCTGCAACCATATTTATTCAGAGGTAGTGGACGGTCATTCAGTACGATTGAAGGCAACAGACAAGCCCAGAAGGGAGTTGCGGAACAGGGAGAACCACACACAGGATCGATAAGCGAAGCCTATCTGCAGTCAGTTGAGAGCGCACAGGTGCAGTCGCCGCCACACAGCAGCACAGGTACAGACACATATGAAACATCGCACATAACGTTAAACATAGATAAGGAGAAGGATGCCGATAGAGTAAAACCTGTTCCTAACTCCGATACGGAGCCAGGTGGCGGTAGAAATAATAAAACAAATAGCGAGGACGGTACCAACACAGACACACACGGCGTAAACGATACGAACATAGACACTGCAACATCACAACAACACACACCCATATATTCAGACGCAGGTGATGACCCAGATTCATTCGAACCGATGCCGCGGGACAAGGCCAACTACGAACTCGACCGCATCGCCAAAGTAGGTGGAGTGGTGAATGTGTGCCTTATGCTTATCAAGGGAGGTGCTGGGGTAGTTGTGGGCTCAGCCGGGTTGCTTGCCAGTGCAGCGGATAGTTGTAGTGATCTGGTAGGTGATGCAGTGCTACTATGGGCTCTAGAGGCCGCCAAAAAGCCCCCAAGTATCGAACATCCCTGGGGCCACGGCCGCCTGGAAACGGTTGCTAGTTTGGGGACGGGTACGCTTATGCTGGGTGCCGGGTTGAGTGTGGGGTGGCATAGCGGGATAGGGTTGTACGATAACTTTATGGCGTCCTACGGCGAGACTATTAGCGAGCACTCTCACATGCTCAACAGTGACTGGTTGCCTCTGGGGATAGGGGTGGCCCTGGTGAGTATCCTGAGTAAAGAGTGGCTGTACCGGACTACACTCAAGACCGCTCACAGTGTGGGGGGTTCCCGCGTGCTCGAGGCACACGCACACCACCACCGCAGCGATGCACTGTCGGCTGTGGCAGCCTTGTTTGGCTTAGTTGGGGGTATGTACGGTATGGGTTGGGCCGACGGGGTCGCTGGACTATTAGTGAGCTGGCTAATCGCCAAGCAGGGTGGTAAGATCTGCTACGAGTCGTTGTCCGAGCTGGCGGATGCGGGGCTGGACGAGGGTGAGTTAAAGGAAATGCTAGTAAGCGCACGCAGTATCCAGGGGGTGGAGGATATCATACACGAACGGGCTCGTAGACTGGGTCCTTTTGTGGAGTTCCATGCCACTATACTGGTAGATCCCTGGCAGAGTATTAGCGGCGCGAGGGATCTGGCGGAAGAGTGTCGGCGTATAGTCATGCGTCAGAACACGCGAGTTAAGTTCTGCCTCATCACAACCCGGCCAAAGCGCTTTGCGTTCGAACCCTGCAAGCACACGGGCGAGGGTACCCGGGAGTTGAAGGATATGGGCATGGATGAAGGTATCGAGCCCGGCATGCAGGACTTGGGGCTTTGGGGAGACGATCACAACCATTGCATGGACGAAGGTCAGTCTCATTTTAGCAGGCGTGTGATGACCGAGAAGTTGCTGCGAAAGACGGCGAGTAGCTTCCCCGGGATCACGAGTGTGAATCGCATTACCCTGCACCGGTTGCACGAGGATTACAAGCATATCATGACGGGGTATGTGGTGAATATAACGATTGACTTGGCCGACAGTGATTTGATGCGGTGCAGACAGATTGCTTTGAAATTACAGAAACAGCTGGAAAAGATCGAGTTGCCCGACGGGAGTAGGCCGGTCAAGGAGTGTGATGTGCACATGGACCTGACTAACATCCCGTCTGAGAGCCTGTAATAGTTCATATATAGATAGATATATATAGATACATACATATACATAGACATGTATATGTATATCTGTATGTATATATACCGATATATATATATATGTATATATGTATGTATGTTTGTATGTATATGTATATATTATATATATATATAATATATAATACATACATATATATATATATATATATATATATATATATGTATGTATCGTTGTTGTACTATGTTCGTATTACTATAT